ATATGAAAGGAATTTTTTTTGTTTTGTGCCGTGTAGAGCTCATTTTTTCTTGCCATATTCTATAAGTTAATTTTAATACCATTTATCACAATAAAGAGAAAAAATGAGCATATTTTTCTTTTGGCTATTTAGCAAACTGATGACTAACTAATTTAGTTACTATTATCAACACACATATATTCCAAATCTCTTTTTTAAGTCGACTGATGTGATTGTCGAACTGAAGACGTCATGTTGAGATATGCACTTATACACATACTCTCTCTCTCTTTCTCTCTCTCTCTGTGCCCCTTCTGGCAGTTCAAACTCATCCTTTTTAATTCGTTGAGCTTTCAATCACATAAAGAACAGAGAATAGTGGTATTTTCTCATTGGAGAGAAGAACATGGATTAGTGAAGAATTAGACATATTTAGACTCATTCTCATGTCACTGAAAAAACATACATTGTTTTACTAATACATATGTCTTTATAGATAAATAAGTTTAGAAAATTGGACTTCAGAAAATTGAAAAATTCATCTTTGATTCGATAACTAGGTTAACATCATGCTATTAGTTTTATTAGCATAAATAATAAACTTCATTTGTTGGGTAAATAGCTTGTTTTATATAATACAACGAAAATAGATTAATCATAACATGACGTCTCATCTATAGAAATCTTTCTCAGTTATATGTCAAGTTTTTTTCCGCTTTTTAATATTGAATAATAAAATTCTTGCCTATATTGATTCAATGTAGTGCCAGTGGTATCCAGTAATATTGGATATCACTGTTAGAAGATTTTGAATCTGAGATAACTTACCGCATTATGAAGTTAGCCGAGAGATATGGCTTACTACATCTTCACTACGTTATCTTTCAACAACACATGTTAGAATGATTGTGAAGTTCTTATTTAAATAAAAAGAGAGTTTGTGCTGAATTGACTTTTTCTATAACAACTGATTAAAAATTATGTAGCAAATCGAGAGACAAAAATGACAAATGTCTCTGCATCTGATAGTGTTTGTAGTATGTGGGTGAATAAAGTTAGCTATCTAATAAACCATAAGTCTAAATCAGCTGTGCTCTAGTTCAATGTTGAAATATATCGACCTTTTCTTTGGTTTAATAAAACTGTCTAAAATCTGAGTAAACTTAAACTTTTTTTGCGATATGGAAGTTTACATAGATTTTCAAAAAGCTGTCGAATTACTTTATTCACATAAATTTGTTGGGGGGAAGGGTGACTTGAAAAAATTCGAACAAGTTGAATTTGATGATCCGTTAAAAGTCAGAGACGAGTTGAGAAAGAAACGTTTTCAAACTGTTTTTCTAGACGTTTATAATAAAGAATTGAGGAGTGATGTTTAATACAATGTGATTATTACATACATTAGACTTTATATTGCATGTTACGATCGAAATAAAATATTTTATTTTCTCCTCCTGTAATCATCATCACTAACAATTCAATATTTAATTTCCTCGTTTTTCTAACCGATAGTTTCTTTCTTTTTCGCGTCGTAACACACATACAGTGGTACTTCATTGTATTCCATACACCACCCCATTCGATGTTTTTCTTCTTTCATTAATCCAATACGCTTTTTCTCTTTCTTTCCTATCCTTATTCATGGCTCAATTTGATATTATCAACCATGTGGGCACAACACACACACACACACACACACACACATACACACATACAAAATTATCAGTCACGCAATTGAAAACGGAAAAATGCTTGAAAAATGACATTGCACTTTATTTAACATCAGAATCACAGACACACAATCTTATGAAAAGAAAAGAAGAAATTTTGTTGTCAACTTATTAAATAATAAAACAGACTGTTTCCAAACAAGAAGACATATCACTTTTTTACTCTCTTCATTCTTTCAACATAGTGACCACCTGGTAATAAAAAATTTCGAAATGACAACGTGTCAATGATCGAAACGGAAGTTTGAACTAGCAGGTTTTAATGGAGTACAACAACATTTCTATCTTGCATAGTAGAAACATATAGCAAAGCTTTTGAGAAAAAAATCAGGTAACAGTCATGTGCTGATGAATAAATCCAACTATTAATAGACTTTTAGAAGAACTTTCAAAGCCTAAATCATTTTTAATTTACCAGAAAAGATAGAAGTAGTTATCAAAATAAAGACAATACCATACATTGAACGTTAAAATGAAACCTAATAATAGCAAGGATAATTCCAGTAAAGATCATTTCTGTAAAAAAAGAATGTAGGTGACGAGAGATATAGTCAATCTGTACCTGTGTGTGTAACGGTTGAATGGAAAACTATCGTATCTAAGAACACATTATTATTATTATTATATCTTATCACTTTCTCTCTCTCTCTCTCTATCTATCTATCTTTCGTTGCATTACAATCAATTAGCACATAATTTAAACTTCACAGTTCATTATTACCAAAGGCAACTGGATTGAAACATAATGATGATGACTTTATATATTAATCGAGAAAATGATGAAAAAAATGACCATATTTATAGAACAAGAAAGATAAAACACATTTAGTGAAGGTAGATAAGTGTTTTGAATAGATATATTTTGTGATAAGTTGAAATCTTTAGAAATACATATTAGATGTTTTAAAAGGAATAAATGATACTGTTTGTCAAAAAAAAAAAATGCATTTAATAAATATGTAGCAGCTTGTTATACTTGATACTACTTGACTATTATTTTTGCAAAAAAATAAAATTGACTATTATTAATATGAATTGACACAATTCAAAATCTACTTGTGCATAGAAGTAATAACTACTGTTAATGAATAGTTGGTGACTATTTTAAAATAAATCATTTCTATCACTTGTAGAAAATAGTAAAAGACTTCTATAATTTTATCTGACAGTCAGATTTAACTTCAAATAGCCATCGCTCTCTCAACTAACGTCTAATATCGGTATACAATGAATCGGTACAATGATCGGTGAGAAAAAGAAAGTTACAATAGTTTGTTGTTATGTTTACATAATGAATTTTCGTTGAGATTATCAAAAAAAAAATGTGAATATAACTCTTCTATTGTGTTATCGAATGTAAAATTTGTTTGAACAGCAACTATGGCTATAGTAAGAGAGTAGAGAAAAGAGTATGTCAAAATTTTTGAGATATATATTATTTATTCTTTTAACTTTTTAAATACAAAGAAAAAATGACTGTGTAAATTTTCTTTTCTTTTTTTCTATTTCTTTCATATACAAAACAGGATGAATATGAACGAAATTTAACTCTCTATTCATGTAATTACTGTGTTTTAAAACTTGTTACATATTTTATATTTCTTTACCATCTTATAGTACTTAGAACAAGTATTCATATTCACAACCTATCTCTTATAAATATTTGATAAATGTTAGTTTAACAATAGAAAATAAGTCCATAACGAGAAACACAAAAAGAAAAGAAAAGAAAAGAATAAAAGTCAATGTTTCCGGAATATGCTTGACGAGAAGGAAAAAATATATAATTCCACCGTTGCTTGTCTTCCATCATTCATTTCATGAGATAGATTAAATAGTCAAATCCAAATAAATATTATACAACTAAAATCTTATTGAAAATGTTTCATTTTAATCAATTATCATCCTTTCAAGATCAAGAAGAAAACAACGAAAAAATTCTGTTATATTTGGATGAAAAAGTGATTGCAGTTAATGATTAAAGAATCATTGTTGAAATTAACAATGACAAAAAGAAAAAAAAACTTATTACTTCTTGCAGACTATTCTAGTCGTACTTTATCCATCTTTTCTTTTTTTTTCGTCAAAATTCATACTCAGAAACCCATTACTAATTTCACACGGATGAAGTTCTTGTAGAGGATGGACCCGTAGGGGTCTATTAGTCATTCTGCACGCTATTCTATTTTCTTTATTATAATAAACTGTGACACTATGTAAGAAATTTGAATGACAAGATATTTTAGTTCTTGTTTTCTATTTGCAATGATAATCATCGGAGACAAAAAGTATTACTTACCATATTGTGCAAGCATAATAGAAAACAATGAACGACAACTACTCAAAAATCTCACATCAATACTTTGGAATAACATTTATGACATTTTAAGCTTCCCTTATCATCATAAGTTTTAATATTCTCTAATTCAAAATACTATGTCAGGAATTTATATTTTGATTGTTTATCAGACAAAATTTCTTCTATTTTTAATTTAATTTAAATATCTGTATAAAATCTCTAATTTTGATATTTTACTTTTAGGAGATTTAGTAGTTTTAAAGACAATATACATCTGAATTATCTATTATCTATCTGTATTTATATGTATTACATTTATTAAGTCTAAACTCTGCATGATTTTTTTGTATGTTTGTATTCTGTCTCTTTCTATATATACAAACAAACAAGTAAAAACTATTTTTCTTTTCGTAATAAATATGTTTTATATATTCAATTATACACGAGAAAAATAATTGGAGAAATTTTAACAAGTTTTTCATTTTATTTTTTTTCTTCTTCTTTTCTTCTCTATATATTTAATGTCTCCAATCCCTATTCATATATAACAACCAATCATGTAGGAGTTAGAATATATTACACTCGTTTCTTATAATTCTTTTCTTTTTCTTCTTGTTTTGTTTGGATTTTTATTTTTTTTTAAATATTAGTGAGAAATATAGTTGTTTTGTTTGTCAGCAAACGGGAGACAAATATTTTTCTCTGTGAGTATCAAAAATCAGTCTTTAAAGAAAAAAAAAAAAAAAAAAACTACGATAAAGCGAAAAACGATTATTGTATAAACAAATATATGTGTATTTTTAATATAAAAAAAGAAGAAAAAAAAGGAAGAAAAAATGTTACCCACCACTGTTAGTCATTTTCTGACGAAAACCATTCATTCGTATTGTTGTTGATATTGTTGATAAAATCAAATCAAATTGTTTGTGGAAAAATATCAAACGAAAATATATTTAAATATAATTTTCAGAAACATCACAAAAATAGTTATGATGCCGAGAGATATTATTAGAACATATTGTGGTGATTCACCAATATTTAAACCGACTACTACCACTACACAAACAACAATTTCTCCAAAACAATCAACCGTTTTTAAAACAACACCGACAACAAATGGTGATAGTATTGTACCAAATATTGTTCCTCCATATTCAAATATGGTCTTATATGATTTACATCGTGCACAACAATTTTATGATTATGCTGCACGTTTAAAATTTTCTGTACCACCTCATACAATCAATAATTTTTCAAATTCACAAGCTGATTTTACACAGGCACTATTAGCATTAAATCGAAATGATCCACGTTTAAGATTTGTACGTGAAGAACCAAAACCATCATATTCATATATTGGTCTAATTGCCATGGCCATATTATCGTCACCAGACAAGAAACTTGTACTTAGTGATGTATGTGTAAAGTTTGTTTTATTATTATGAATAGTCGAATTTATTATGTTTATTATTTAGATTTATCAGTGGATATTGGACAATTATTCATATTTTCGACAAAGAGGTCCTGGTTGGCGAAATTCAATAAGACATAATTTGTCACTCAAGTAAAAATTCATATTCATATTTTCTGATTTCTAATTGATATAAAAATAGTAATTTTTATAGTTAAAATATATTTTTTAAAATATTTTCTATAAAAAAAAAAGTTTTAAATTCAATAGTTTTTATGTATGTATTAAAAGAATTTTTATTTTATTTGAGTGATTGTTTTGTCAAAGCTGGTAGAAGTGCCAATGGTAAAGGTCATTATTGGGCTATTCATCCGGCAAATGCAGAAGATTTTTCCAATGGAGATTTTCGCCGTCGTCGAGCACAACGTCGTGTAAGAAAAAGCATGGGACTAGCCATACAAGATGAAGAAGACGAAGAAGAAGATATTTTACAGACAAATGAGACAGAAAGTGTTTATAATGCACATGAACAGTAAGTTTTGTATTTAAAAGATTTTATTTAACAGTTTAAATAGTTTGACAAAAATTCGATGCAAGAAAATGTGTGAAGAAACGACAAGAGATTTTTGATGCGCAATCATTTTAGTTCAACATTTCTTTTCTTTGTAAAAGATACGTGAACAATACTCAGTCATAGAACTTGAATGATCATCAAAGCACTGACCGTTGTGTTGTTTAAAAGATGACTTTAATGATTATTTAACTATTCGAAATATTATATCACCGTTCAACTATTAGTCGAATAGATTTATTATGCTGATGCTAATTTGTGTCTCATTTGTTTAGTTCGCCAACCAAACTCGATGCTGATGATTTGTGTTCATCACATCTAAAAGATCATTCACCGTCATCTACGACATCCACCGTTCTTAATCGTTATTTTAATGATATGCGTCGATCTGATATTAATAATCATACACAAGTATTTTTTACACCACCATCTGCATTAGATAATCGTTCACTCATTAATTCTCGTGTTTCTCCATTTTTATCATCGGCTCCTGGATCAACTTCCGTCTCTTACTACTTAAATATGTTATCACCAATAATACGCCATAATCCATCAGTGACTATGTCTTCGACGTTAACCTCCTCACCACCAATAGCAGTTCCTAAAAATACTCGTAAACGTTGTTTTGATATTGATAATTTACTTGCACCTGATCCAAAACGTCTCAAATTATTAACAGAACAAACAGAACGATTAACTAAAGTAAACAAAGAAGATGAAAACGATGATAACTATATTAAAAATAACAGTGATGAACACGCTGAACATTCTTACGTTCAAAATTTAAAAGAAACAAGTCCTAATAAGCAACATGTAAATAATGATCGAAATTCTCCCATTATGAGTCCATATTCAATCAATTCAAAATCGGACCGATCACACTCGACAGATGATAGTAATCTGGAACCAGGAAATACGGACATAATCGCGACCGCTTCCCATAATCTGACATCATTATCCTCACGATACATTGATTTTGTTGAATTTTCTTGTAAATCATAATTTTTACACATATTTTCTTATTTTATATAAAAAGAGAGATAATAACCGTTCATTTCAGAAAGATTGAGCTTCAATTGTACAATTGTGGAACAGCCGTAAAGTTATTATTTTTTCTTCTACTATTAACTCCTGTTGTGTCTGTGTACACATGGATTTCCTCTATATAATCAAACAAGATGTCACTTGAGAAATCTCCTTTTTTTTTCTTATGATGCACATTATTAACGATTATACAGTTGATTATAAAGGTGACTTTCAAGAGATACTTACAAAATTCAAACTGGTGCACTTAATATAAAAATCCTTAAAATGTGAAATATTTTATTCGAGCATTACTCGTCATCGAAAAATAAGAAATTTTATAAAAAATTAACTTCGACAATTTTATAAGTTCAAAGACTCGAGAACAATTTGCACCTTTCGTTTGAAAACAGTTGGTCGAAGAAGAAAAATAAACCAAATTTTATCGGCTTTTAATTTAGGATAACCTCCTACTGTGTCAATTCAGAATCAATTGTTTTATAAACCAATCACTATTTTTTCTAATCTGTTGTTCATTCTCTGTCGTGACATACTCATATTTTAAATTAAACTGACCGTTCATTCATCTATATAGATGTGGAAAAAATTTATTTTAATCAATTTGATCTCTCCTCCTATACTCTCTTCTCCTTCCTTTCAAATCAATTGTATGTTGTGACTATGTTCATCATAACATTAAATTGAGCATTGGATACAACAAGAGATCGATGTGAGAGAAAGAGAAAAAGAATAATCGTTTGTTAATAATGGTTGAACAAATAATAGACTAATAATGATCATAGAGAAACACCGAAAGAGAAAAAACAAAGATGTTAATTGACATGAAAATGTCAAGTAGCGTAAATAGACGAATGAATGAATAATAGGTATTACACTGATTTGAACGATAAAAAAACAAAAAGAAGAACCATGGAAATTATAGTTAAAATTTAAGAAAAAAAAAATATATAGTTGAAATTGAAGACATAACAAAAATATTTTAAACTAAGATTCTCTCTCACTTTCTTGCATTTATGCAATTAGACTATTAACACTTCATTATCTTGGCAAGATTCATTTCTATTCATCGAATGTTAGCACTGAAATAAGATTGAATGTTTATATATCATTTCAGTTAAAACTTAAATGAATTTAGTTATGTCGAACTCGTGAAGTGTGTTAAATATAAAAAAAAAATAATGACGATTGGATTAAAGAAAGAGTGGTGAAAATGACATTCACAATTCTAACACCTTTTCGATGGATATAAATGAACAGTAGGGGTGCGAAAAAATAGTAACGAGTTAAAAATAAGACATAAATATGTACATAGAGAAGAAAAGAGTTTTAAAGAAATTAAAAACTCTTCATCTTTAACAACAAAATGATGACTAATTAAAATTCGAACTAAGCCCTGATGATACACCATGTCATTCTCTATATAAATCTGTAAGAGCATTACGGTTTGGCCAGTTAATTCTACTGCCGGAGTGAAATTCCGTTACGTTTTCTCTTTCATTTTGTTTCTCTTATAATTTCAGAACTGCGAGATGCCCAAAGCTCTCAGAAACGTCTCAATTTCAAGAAAAAGGTATTTGTATCTTTATCAAATTTTTCGAACAAAAGATCGTTCATTTTGTTTCTCTTATAATTTCCGAACTGCGAGATGCCCAAAGCTCTCAGAAACGTCTCAATTTCAAGAAAAAGGTATTTGTATCTTTATCAAATTTTTCGAACAAAAGATCGTATAGAGTGCGGGTACATCTCAAATTCTCAGCACACTTTTCTCTTTAATTTAGGACCTCGCAGAACTCTGAGTATTTTGCAGTTCGGAAATTATAAGAGGAACAAAATGAAAGAGAAAAGGTAACAGAATTTCACTCCGGTAGTAGAATTAACTGACCAAGCGGATTAACATGTATCTGTATTGGAATAGAGTCTTAGGAATAATGTATAAGGTATAGAATAAAGTAAAACTTTTACAATGGTTAACAGCTATTTTAAATTACATTAAAAAACTCATTTTTAAGAAAAACTGACGTTACATATTTCATCAAACTGTGTTGTACAATACAAAAATTATAGCTTTATTTCATGGTAAGAATACATAAAAGATCATCAATTCTTTTCCAGAGAACTTGGAATTTTAATTAAATATTTAAGAATATGGCTTTGATTTCAGCTCGATTTGTGGAACACTTTGCATTCAGATACAACCCAGTACATTACCAATAAACAAACGCCAACAATAAAACTAAATATAGGTGCGTGCAATCATGAACAGCATAAAGTCGAAAATTTACAAATCAAATGAAATTCCATACGGCTACTGCATTAGTTATCAAACGTTGTTAGAAATCGATCTCCAAATTCATCTAATATTAAATTAGCTAAAATATCGCCAGTCGACTTTCTCGCGGACTCCTACATGACTCCCTTGAGAGTTCTATGGGGTCCTCCCGTTTTCACTGAAGCCCCGAGGAATTTCGACGGGTCTCCCAACAAAAATCCTTCGAGAGACATGTTTACGCGAAAACTGTCGAATTTTTCAGAAATCCTTCAGGACTTCCAAATTTTTCGAAGTTTTTCGTCGCATAAAGGACTTATTAGTGAAAGATCAGCTTTTAATAACCTAGACTGGGGATGCACTGTTCCAGTTTTTGATGAGTATCAGTAGTGGTCCCAGCCGTTACCAGGCTGCATCGGCGCGGACTACAACGAGAATGAATACCCGTTCGTATATGTTCTGATAAGTTCTTCATTAAAGCCGATGAGTATGGGTGATTACCTAGCCTCAACTTTCATTTGAACTAATAGAGACAGAATACTAAAATGCGAACTTAAAGAAGATTACGCGTGATTATGCAGAAAATAATTTCTTTAACAGCACCGTGATTCACACATCTATTTTGACTACTAAATTAAACGATTCTAAAACAAAAAGTTCGAAAGTATATATTTTTCTTGAATGAAGTCATTTGACGCAGTTTGACCTGCGCGATTCACTTTCGGAGCAAAAAGTATTTCTGAAAAACCTTGAGCACGATTTCGCTTCTGGAAAGCATTTTGGAACAAAAGTTTCCTTACAAATGTTGTTCAGAATCAAATTTTACACCGGGTGAGCGGAGAAACAGTGCTTCCAAAGTGTGTTCTACAAACTGAGCGAAAAATCTCAATGCGAGGACCCATCCACCCTACCTTAAGGATACGGTACCCCGCCCCTCTTTTTCGGCTTTCCGTAGAAATGCTGTGAATTAAAAACTAAAAGTCGCTAGGGCTTCGTATTTTCAGGACTAATTGGAAACTCAATGGAGCACTTTTTCGTTCTTGTTTCAAGTTTTCAACTATTACCGTTTACCAGTTTTTTTAGAAAACTCGGTTTTTCATTGTGCCACATTACGACCCCCTTAAATTTCATCCGATCGAGTTCAAAATTTTACCTGAGGTACTCAAGGTCATTCCGCAGAGATAATTTTTGGAAAATTTTTTTGAGACCTTTCCTGGTTGAGTTATAGGAAAAATACTGAAAAACGACTTAAAAACCAAGTTTTTCAATTTTAGAAACCCTATAAGTCGGTAAAGAAAAGTCTAAAATAAAATTCCAAAAAATTACCTCTACAATAGTGCCTTGAGTACCTCTGGTAATATTTTGAACTCGATCAGATGAATTTAAGAGGGGTCGTAACGTGGCACAATGAAGCCTGCTAGCAAAAAAATAGTTTTCGAGAAAAAACGCATTTTGTACATAGGTCACTTTTTTTCAGAGCATTTGCCGCGATGCTTATATCTCCGCGAAAACTTATCGGAAAATTCTGTGAAACGTTTCATTGTGAAAAAAACACTTTCCACTATGTGTAAGAAAAATTTTGCATGTACAGAAAATGCAAGAAAAATTTCGGAAACTAAAAAATCGAGTTCTTTTAGGTTTTGAGAGAAAAACTTTAAGAATTCATAACTTTTTGAAAAAAGGTAATGTAGTACTGAAAGTGGTTTATTTTTCAGCCCACACTTTCCTCTACATTAGTTATGCTCGCTTAAAATCCGAAATTTTCACATAAAAGAGGAGGAGCGGTACCCTTAAATATTCTAAAACATACGTTGACTAGCATATAGCTGTGTATTACGAACAGTAACAGTATTGAGAAAAGTACAGTCAACCGACGTTTGCAGGACCCGACATTTGAGGGGAGAATGTGGGTAATGAGTGTGAGTAAATAAACAATATTTTACGCCTTATCCTCATATGGCGGGATTGTCAATCTAATTATTTTGTGCAAGTTGAAATTTGAAGAAACGAAAAATTGAGCGTGGAGTAGAAATTACTTGCCCAGCTGCGTAAGTGAATTATTTTAGGACTTGTCAGTTATATCTGGATCCGATGTCGAGTAATCTTTCACACGCTTATCTTCTTTTTAAGTTTATATCTTTATTTCTTTTACCTTCAAACTATAAAATTATAGACATTTAGTATTTGTCGGTGTATGACTAATTTTTTGAAAATCAGATGTCGCCATATTCAAGAGAGTAATCGTTCTAACTTTTGCTAGGAGTATAATATGCAGCTTGGAGTAATTTAGACTAGTGGCAGCGCCAGGATTTTGCTCTGGGGTGGGCTTAGCCCACCCATTTTGGGAACACTGAAAAATTTTCAGGGTGGGCTTAACTTCCTTTCGGGTGAGCTCAGCCCACCCTAGCCCACCCCTGGCGCCGCCACTAATTTAGACAACTGAAATAATCTATCGGGGTGCTTCAAACTGTGTTCTGAAAAACAGAAATAAAGAGCAAAAATTCAGAATATAAAGACCGACGTTTTCACATCGATAATATAAGCAAGCGTGTTGATGTTTTCTAACGTTGAAAAATCATTTTTATTATGAAAAAGTTTTGCACACACTTTGTGATTATTATTTCGTTGATAAAAACAAAAATATATAAAAAAATAGTTTTATTTCGTCTGAATTGTAATAAAAATAGATAAATAAATATATATAGATATATATTTCACACAAAAACAACAAAGTTTAGTAAAAGAAAAATATGTCTTGATTGAGTTGAACCTCTGTTGAAAAAAACTAACATCAACATGTCACCGGCATGATGTTCTTTTTGTCGTCATGATGTTGACTAGTGTTGAAAAACAGAAGCAGATAGAGATAAATATTTAGACTAGTTGTTCAATTAATAATGAAAAAAGAGTTGCTTATATTTTACATGATTGATAAACGCACAGATTTTTATAGTAAAAGAGAAAAATCATACAAAAATATATAAAATGTTGAGCTGAGAAAGAAATATGTGCATGTACGATGTAACGTGTTTGATACTCTTTATACTTAATACCTACCTAATGTCACTGTTAGTTTATTGAGTTGTCTGAACCGAGCATGCTTTATTGTTGCTTGTCACTTAGCCATTTCTTTTTCAAATGTGCTGGTGGATCAAACGGGTTTAATCGTCGATGCATATAATCATCACTGGGTGCTTTGGGTTGACTTCGCCGTAAACGTTGCCCTTCATTAAGCAATTGCTCTTGTCTTTTTAGTCTTATAGTTTCAACTGAAGGTTGAATTGGTTCATGTTGTGTCAGGTATTGTTTTTCTAATTCCATTTGGCTACTTGAATCATAATCACCATTTTCATCAGTCCAATCCTGATCATAGTTTACATCATTCTGACGATGCGCTCCGTACCCATTTCGTCCATGGCCATTTGTTGTAGTATAACCATTCGTGTAACCAGCTGAACCAGGTTGATTTCGGTTAACAGTTAACTCATTCTTCGTTTGGTTATTTGCTGACATTTGTGGTAACTGAAGATCTTCGGTAGTTACTGGTGGTAAAATATAATCGCCTTTTTCATCATCATATTTTGCTTGCATTTTAATATTGTCCAAATTAAAATAATTACAACTTCTTGGCACAAATCGAGCAATTTTTTCATTGATTGCTTTAAGTAATTTTACTTGCCGTTCAAAGTCACGTATAGTTTCTAAATAATTTTCACGTTCACGTTCAAATTCATGCTGTAAATCACCGTTGTCAGCTTCTAAACGTTTTTTAGCCAAACGTTCTTGTTCTAATTGTTTATTTCTATGATAAAGCTAAATAATGAAAATCACACGTAAAAAGTGTATGTATTTTCGAATAAAGTCAAAGAACACCCGTTAAGCGATGAGACTTACCTCTTCTTGAACATTGTCGAAAACTCGCATCATTACATCATCATCATCCGCATTAATTGCCGACGTAAACTTTTTTCGTTGTTTCTCTTCCATATCTTTTAATTTCTTTTTACGCTTCTTTTTCCTTTCCTCATTGTTTTCTTCTTCTCCACCGACCATCTTGTCTTCCAATTCTTGAAGACGTCTTTTGACTTCTTGTGGATCTTTTGGTATACCATTTTCATTATGATCGCCATCATCATTTGTGATTGTTGATTGTTGTGGTTGTTGTTGTTGTTTTCCACCCTTTTTCTTACCACGACGTACATCTGGCAGAGGTCCTAAATAATAAAAACTCTTGTAGGTTTTAAAGACATAGAAATTGGTTCAACTGCTACCTTCACCACTCCCATTTGTCAAAGCATTTATTTTATCATCATATTCTGACTTTAATTTTTTCACTTCAGTTTGATAATTTGTTCGTTCCTCTTCACATTGTCGACGTAATTCGTCTGCTTGATTTTCATATTCAAGACGTAATCGTTCTTTTTCTCGTTCAATTTCTTCTTTATCAACTATTGTAGACGAGTTAACCTAAAATTAAAACAAAAAAATACTCATCTCAACTAAACTCTCGAACTCTAAAAAACATTGCTTTTTCGTAGAGAAACATTCAATGGGTCACTCTGCACATCTCTACAATTCTATACATTCGCTATTGTACAACCTACATATTCCCGCTGTCGTGATGCAAAAAGGACAGTATTCTTTCTGTCAGAAAAAATGCTCATGAGGCTATGTCCAAAAATCATTACAGTCCATTCTTAAAAAAGGCGACAATATTCTAATCCAATAGTCTGCCCTGCATCTCTGTGATTACATTTTCAGCGTGTTCTTCATGTCGACTGGTAAAAACGAGTGAGTTTGGAATCAGTAAATTTTAACATCTTTATCGTAATTATGCAGTTTTATCTGCTAGACAATGAGGGTATAGATTTCTTTTTTGAGAAGTTTTCGATACAATTTCAGGTATTTTAATTTGGTAATTAACTTGGATTGAACCAACAATCAAGATGTTTGTCATCCACAAATAAAATAATTCAAAAACATACACGATTACTGTATGAAATAATGCAGCACACTTATTTTAATTTTTAAAAAATGCAAAGAAAATGGTTTGTTGATTTATGGAAGAGGATATATTTTTACTCCAATGCGTAGCCATAGCATGCTTTTTCTTAATAAACTTGTTTTTTGGGTTTGTATACGAAATATCCGTTTTACAGAACAACAAACTATTTTAAAGATTAGTGTGATAATCAGCTGAACTAAGAACGATAATTTTTAATGAAAGTTTTTTTTCATATTGTAGGAGATATGATGCGATGTTTCATGGTGATCTGATTAGAAAGGATTTGAAAACTAGGATTTCCATACATCCTGCATTCATAAAGCAAAACAGATGAATTTTCCCACATTCATATAATGCTTAAAGAAAGTTTCTTATATTATATATATGCACTATTTGAAATTTTTAGAGTTGTTTGATGACGTGTGTTTCCACTATCATCTACTGTAATGAAAAATCAGTCCAAATATCAAATATTATTTTCCATTACTTGAATACAGAATAATCTAACCATTTTGGTCCGCGTGAGTGCTCACTACACTAGACGAGACGCGCATTTCCTACGAAATTTTAACGAGATGACTCATTTTTGAGAGTCAGAGAATTTTGTAAGCTTTCATAGGTGCGAAAAAAATTAAACTTCTTCCGAAACTCTCATTAGGGTATGCCTGGAATGCGACTGAGCACACCCGTTCTGAAGAAAATACGAATTAAAACAATCCCCACAGTAAAACTTATTAAAATTTGAGATTTTTTTACATAGAGTCTCAACAGAAGACGTTTCAACTACTTGGGACAATACGGGTTTTGGGGGAAGTCGAAAGATGGTAAATGTGTAGAAAATAATGCAGACAAAGATGATTTTTATCGTACTTCACCGTTATTGATCGACGGTAGCACTTGTGCGCCACCACCTTGTGAAGCTAATTCTGCTTTGAGACGATTAATTTCATCTTGTAATAATTTCATTTGAGCATCTAAAATTTTCAAGTAGATACTAGAATAACATATAGTTACCTTCAAAAACAGTTGTATATGGCTCCACCATTTTGATGTACCCCACCCATAAAACAAGAAGTCTTACCTCTTGGATCTTCATTGATTTTTGGCTTATTTTTGATATTTTTCGCACGATTGGCGTAACGTAACGTTGATAACGTTTCTTCATAATTATCATCAGCAGGTGATACAGCAGCAATCATAAGTGTTTTTGTATTGCCACCTAATGAATCTTGTAATAATCTTGTTAATTTGGAATCTCTGTACGGGATATGTTTCGATCGTCCGTCAACAAGTGCCGAAATAACATTTCCAAGTGCACTCAATGATAGATTGATTCGTGTCGCTTCTCTTAATCTTGCTCCTTCAGCATCTGAAAAACAAAATATACTAACCAATAAAATAAACCCAACAATTGAGATAAAAGAGAACATACGTGTTTTTGTTTGTCGTTCACTGCCAGCCAGATCAACAAGATTCAATTTTCCAGCTCGGATATGTTCTTTTCCGTCAAGTTCACTTATCGTGCGTTTTTCTACCATTATGGTAAATATTGAGTGTGATCGAGATGAATGTTCGTTCATTGATGTTGCACCAGTAGCTCGATTTTTATTTCCTTTATTCATCAATTTTTCACAATCCGCTATACTTTTACATTCATGCCACGATAAACCGGGAACCTGAACACTTCGGTCCGGATGTTCCTATAAGATTAAATCAATCTATCTCTCAGATTGAAACATTATTGAATAAGAGTCGTTCTTACTTTTAATTCAAGTGATTTTGCAATATCTGATCCTAACATATCGCGAATACTTTCGTTGTATATTTCTAGATACGATGCACGTACTAAATATTTTGTACCACTAGCAAGGGTAATTGCTTCAAATACATGCTACAATAAAGAGAAGAAAATGCGTAAGTAATTATGCTTTAGTTCATGAGTTTTTAGAATGAATAGCGTAGTTACAGTGCAGAGACGAAAAAATATTCCTTTTTCTTTGAATGATCATTTACGCAAAGCAGTTAGCTTGTTTATGTGACAAACTTCTTTAATAGTAGTAAGATTAATTCTTTGAATACCTCAAATGATCTCGGAATCACGCCTCTTTGTGGAGAATTACGATCGATGTCACCTTGCATTGTGAACGACTAGAAATGAAATTAGAGACGTAAATTTTTGTCAAAAGATGAAATAATCTAATTTTGACTCACCTTGCCGCACCCTGTTTGACCGTAAGCGAAAACTGTCCCATTATAACCTTCCAAAACCTACTAGTATATAACAGATATTAAATGTGGTTGATATGGAGTAAATGAATAATACTAACACTTTCAACTAGAGGAAATACGACGTCGGCATATAGATTTTCTGTTATAGAATCTTCGGCATAAACGGCATCAAATGTGAACTGTTTTGGTGGATCCTGCTGTTGTTCTTTGTTTTGCAATTCAACTTGACATATGGCAGGTGTCATATTGACGATAGACTTAGATAAAAGTCACATCATAACAAATTCAGACATAATGATCTTTTTAAGCATACCTGACATTTCAGGTCCTTCTCTCGTTCGTTTAGCGGACGACATCTAACAACAACGCGTACTGACTCGCTATTAGCTGCCATCTAAAAGTTGATTGTAATACATGCTTTTTATTCAAGAGTAATGATGTTCTTTCATTTCAAGTCACATTCTAGTTTTACAGGTACCCACTTTCCTTACACATAGTAACGGATCCAGGATACGTGGTGTTTTTCATTTTGTCTGTATGGTATACGTGTTGTCAAGCAGCTGAACGCACGTAGTTAGACATGAGCGTGACCAGGACCAAAAAAGGTTTTTTACCGGGACCAGGACTACAATCATGACAAATCGTCAGGAAGTCTTACAGTTCTTTTCTAGGCAATGAACTTTCATCCCATGTCATGCAAACTTTGTTAAAACTGGGACCATTAAAAGGCTCAGGGATTGGGATCGGAACCGGGGCTGAGAAGCCTTGATCCCGCCCATATCTATACGTAGTACAACGCATGTACTCATAGAGGAAAAACGAAAAATATTGATTAATCTAGGTCCACTACTGCTTATACAAATTTATATTTGCATTACAGAGTGGATTATTCTTCACTCAAAACTAAAGCAAAATTTCTGTTTTGTTCTTCTAGCAAGCAAAAATAACGGCTTTTCGCTCTTGCAAAACAGTAGAACGGCTTAAGGGTCCCCCTCTCAGAAATGATGATTCTCGGTCAAAAAATCGATTTTGAGATAAACACATGGAAAGATAGCTTGAAGTGTAATTTCAGAATCTGTATTGCTTTCAGTCCTAGAAATGAATTTTCGTGGTTTTCGAGCAAGTTTTCTAGGCGCTTCGAAAAACAGAAACTTCAAATAATAGTTTTGTTCTGCATTCTTATGCAATTAAGTTTTTTTCTGAATGCGTAGATTTGGAGAGCAAACTTTTCTGATCAAAATAAAACCTCGCACAACGCTGTATGACCTTGCGTCAAACAGTCACAAGCATTTTCCTACAAGTCTTAAAATGAACCAGCCGTTTTCTCTCAGAACACACTTTTCGTGCAGGCATACTCAGTGTACGACACTTTTTTCAATAAATGGTTCATCGTAGAGAGACTTTCTTTTTCTTAATCGAAAGAGCGAATTCTACATAGGTTGATCGGAGCCGATTTTTCAATTAGACCTTAGTTGTTTAGAAAATCAAGGATCTCTAGAAAACTCAAAAGGAAGTTTGGGAGTTTTGAGGTTGTTGGATCTCCAGACAACGAACAAAAGCTTAATTGAAAAATCGGCGCCGGTCAGCCCATGTAGTTATATGGCTAGTTTAAAATAAAACGAACCCGACCTCTCTAGCGTGAAGTATTTTAAAAAATCTTGGGAAATACTTCAGGATCCTTTTTGGACTTTGATCTCTGAAAAACTCCTAAACGATAAGGCTTGAAAGCAAAAAAGGTTTTCATTCTTATAACTCATCGTGTCTAACATTAATGGAAAGTTTCATCAAAATCGGATGCACGGTATCGGAGATAATTTCTGAGGAGGGCCCTTAACAAAAAGCGCATATAAATTAGATATCAAGTACTCTTCAGGAAGATTGGATACCATCCGGAAACAACGATAGTGGGAAAAGAATTAGTACTGATCATTCATAATGTATGCATCATGCGGACGAGACTATCATCGTTGCGACTGAAGTATCTTGCGATTGATCTTTAATTATTTCACAGGAAAAACACTTGGGGTTCTGAAAATATGTCCATTTTCTGGTACTTATTATACTATACGTTAATTAAAGCATCGAACAAAAAAAGGACTTCAGATCTACATCTGCTCGAACCATCTTAGAGATGGGCGAGTAATAGCTTTTTTTACACCACATCATACTTGTCAAATAAAACTTATAACAATAGCTTTTTCAAGTACAAGTACCCTGAAAAATCAGTGTCCAAGTAACACTCACACTTACGAGGAAACCTCTCGAGGTGATACAATCGTGCTTCATTAAGAAAGGTTTCGGTTATCTTTTAGAGTTTCTGAAAACCTGGTTTTCCAGAAAACCGGATCTTCGTACGGTTAAGGGCAGCTCCCATAATCATATTCGGAATCAGCATGGTCGATAACCTAGAACCCACTAGATTTCGATCAAGAAGCGTTTTATCACCTCGAGAGGTTCCCTCGTTAGTCATCTCTTATCTTTTCCCCAAATCTCTTCAGTTTATTTAGTAATAGCTGAAAACGAGAGGCGCACAGAAAAGTGTGTAAGAAGAAAGAAGAACTTATCATAATGGAGAAAATCTTCAAGAATTCACATACACTCGCTATTTATTCGTATAAGTTTCCTTATTGATTTTTGCGTTCGTCAAAGCAAGTAACGCCCGTAAACCGAGTCTTGTGAACATGTGGTTCGTGCAGACTGACCATCTGCTTCGTACAGTAGACTTCGGTAATCTTATACCTTAGGCTGTTCTATTAATCTGTCTTTCAAACTGTGCTTGATCTTCTGGTACGAAATTAATTACAAGCTATGCAGGGTAGGGTAGACCTATTACAATATCAGGCCATGTCAAAGCTTTGACATTCTCTCTGAATGTAACAGACATTTGTACTTTTGAAGTAGTACCAATAATATTTTTATCCCGCGTAGCTATTGACTGATCAATGCCTTCGTATTTAATAAATAAAACGCGTCTGTTGTGCCATAATTTAAAGTATGTCGACTCCTGATCTTACAGGACGGCGCATAACAAAAATTAAGGCCCATCTAGATTCGCTTTTTGTTTTTTTTCTTTTATTTAAGAAATCCTTTTTACGTTATGAATGCTCAGAATCTAGTTTAAATAATTTGATAACTTATTTTGAAATGCATCGAAAATTGATCCACACCCTAGTGAATGTACTTGAGCCAAGTACTTACGCAAGTATTGGGTTAAGTAATGAGGACAGTACTTGTGGACTTTTTTAAATTAACTTGTCGAGTACTTGAGAAAGTACTTGCGAAGTAAAATATAAGTACATAGCTGGTCTAATGCAAGTAAATTTAGTTTATATTGTGATGATTATGTACAACCAGTCAATCCAAAAGAAAAGGATGACTGACTTGTCCAAGTACTTGGCTGAAGCAGGTCAAGGAACAACACTTGTCAACAGGACACCGCGAACTACAAGAAGCAGGGATAGGGTCCTCCGATTTCGGAGTAAATCGAAAATTTTCAAAAATGAGAGTAAATATCTCATTTGTCTAATAATACGTAAGTTTTGACATACAAAATATTTTAGTTGCAAAAAACTTCATGCACCCAAGTTTTTTGCTACAGTTTCTGCAATAAAACTAGACATATTTTTCATTTTGTGAACTGATTTCTAACTCGCAGATAATTAACTATGAAAAACAACTAAATTATTCTGAAATCTGTTGCTGTGCTTTTTCGAATACGTTTTCTCGGTTTTAGTTGTTTCCATTAAACCGCAGTTTATGTCTGAGATATAAACTTCTTAAATTTAAGAGTAAAACGTACTGGTTCATCATCATCATGACCTGAGGAATTGATTGAAAGCCTGAGCCACAAATTTTAACTTTGGGGGTAAACTCAGCGGGCAAAGGCGTTTTGTTACGAAGAGTCAAGCGTTTATACCGCGGGAGTTCGGACCAGTCAGTGAAAGAGAGCAAGAAGAATGCAATGCTTTCAAAATGTCGTAGCAGATTTTCTTGTAAACGAAGAAGAGAAAATATGTTGATGTTTACTCTTAAATCGAGAGTCTTTATAACGAGTAATCAACGATTGCTCATTCATTATGCAGCACTAAATCAGAACTTAGAAGCTTTTCCTCTTCGTTTCCACATACTGTTATCGTTATTAGCATACAACAGATGGTGCTAATTGTTTATCTCATTTCCAGAGCAATAAATTTTCCAATTTAGGAGTAAAAGATTTGAAAAAGCAGGGTGGGGATCCTCCTCCCTGCTCTCGGTGTTGCGACGTCCCTGCTTGCCAAGTGCTTAACTTGTCACGTACTTCAGTAACTCAACCAATCAATACCGCCATACTCAAAAAGCATTTTTGAGTTGTCAGAGATATTAAAAAGACCGATCTACTTCAATCTCGATAATTTGTGATCTAAAATAATAAAGTAAAACTGATTATGAAAGTCATTTAAAAAAGAAGTTGATGCATTACCTGATTTAATAAGCCTAAACAGATGTCACTGGCAAACAACCTAATAATGCGTCCTCTATGGTTTCAAAGCTTATTTGGTAATACACCAGGCATGGGGGAGTCCGAGTTCGGACTGGAAAATTTTTTCTCGGACTCGGACTTGAGTTTTTGTATTTCGAGTCTGATCTATTCAACTTTTAACACAAATGAACAGAGAAAATGAAAAGCGTAATAACAACACCTTCTGCTTCACAAAAACTTGAAAATTTTGTTCGGAAGACGGACATGCAAAGTAACGTTATTTTCTAAAAATCAAATATCTATTCAGGGCTTAGTAAATTAAAAAAGGGAAATAAACCATCCTCGTCAATAAAGAATCTAAAAAAAATACCGGACTCGAAATGGACTCGGACTCGTCCTTAATGTTAAGGACTCTGACTCGGTACCCCTTCGGACTCGCCCATGCTTGTAATACACCATAAATGGTGATGTTGAGAAGTTAAATGTGTTGGAAGTTGCTTGAAAGAATAATTCTACAGTAAGTTTGATTTCTGTGAACAATTCTTGTATAACGCCATCGGTATTATACGTGCGTCACGCTTGATGATGAGAACTAGTCTGTTCGAATTATTCGCTATTCATCGAACCTCAGGGTTAAAGTTGGAAAATTCTGATTCAACTTAAAATCTCTACCATGATCGAACGTAAAGAATCTTACCGAAGAGTAAACGGTCATTTTTTTTTCACTAGCGGTAGGAATAAAACGTCACAAACTTGCCTTGCATGAAACTGCTTGTGAACTTTTTTTCATAGGATTGTATTCCAAAGTATAAGGATATATCACTGAATAGTTTTAGCAAAGAAGAAAAATCTAGATCAAATTGACTCCCAAGCACTCGGTGATTAAAACTATTATAGAAACCGTGCAGAAATGAAAGCACCTTTAATAGATTAGTAGTCTCCGGAAATATATTTTTTAAATAGAGCGACTTAAGTTTAAAATGTAATAAAAAGATTACTGATAAATAGATTTAATACCCGTTGTACCTCTAGTAAGTAGATTAAAAAAAACCAACTAACTGATTATTAGTATATTATCAAAAGCGTATTTCAAGATTTCTTCTATGGCAATCTCATTTTAATGATTCTAATGCTTTAGCATGGAGTGCGTTTGAGTCTTTTTTCTTCTGGGGTTTGAACACAATAAAATCAGAATAATTAATAATAATACATAATAAACAAATGGAAAGTAAACGAAAGTAGTGAATTTATGTTTTTAAACGAACGACAATGATTTAATAAATGAAAAATGATATGAAGGTATCTTATGTGTAGACAAGAAAATAGAGGGGGAGAGACGTATGCTTAATCGGATGCACAGTGTGCAACAATGTATTAGGGGAAAAAACGAAAGTGAGTTTTTCCAGGATTCAATTAGTGACCAATACGCACTACAAAATGCCCGATTTAATGGTGAAAAAATTTTTATCCAAATACTTAGTTTCGCCGGGAAAAGTAAGTCGTGATTTTCAGTAGTTTTTGCGCATTTCGTCGGAAAAAACGTTTTTCTACGGCGGAAGAACGCAAACATAAAAACATAAAACTGATATATTGTAAAAGAGGATGAGTTAGCCTATCGATTCATAAAAATTTTTTTGGAATTAGTCGGTTTTGGGCGGAAGAATTGTTTATTTTTTTCTTTGGTAGGAGCTTCCGAAAGCGATGCGTTTGGAAAAGTGAGTGCCCCCTCCACATCCCCGCTCCGTTTTTGATGAAACTTTCAGCAATTGTTCCTCTATATGTGGTACGTTTATAGGGAATGCGCAAACATGTGCAAATGCTTCTAAGCGGTGTTGCAGATTTTACAAAAAACGTCAGTTTTCAGTAGTTTTTCGAGATTTTTGCATTTTATGATACACTAATTGAAAAAATAAGGACATATTCGGAATCAGCGTAAAAAACTGCATCGAATAATTCATTGGGTTTTGGATATATACTTTTGAATCTTATCGAATTCTTAGATTTTGGGATCGGAACGTAGAATTTTTTGCCCGAAAATTTAAAAGTCAAGGTTTAAAATCATGAACGCTTCTAAAATATTTTTCTATAGGTTTTCAGCGATGCTCTTTCCAATGGAATGGTTTTCGAATTCTGATAAAGTTTTTGAAATGGTTTGGAGGGATCCGGTCTCTGGAAAACCCCTTGGGAAACTTTTTTAAAGCTCGAAAATCATTCGGTTGGAAAGAGCGTCGTAGAAAACCTATAGGAAAATGGTTTAGATACGTTTGGACTGCTTTCAAAACTCATGTCCACGTGCTTAGTCAAAATTGCCCACTGTGGGATGAAAACAAAAACAGAAACCAGGTTACATAACAACAGTAGAGATCGTGCACAATTTCAGTTCGCTGCGAACTCATTTTTCTGGAACTTTTTTGTTTCGCTTTGGTTTCTTAGATATTTAGGGTATCTAGGGTATCTTAGGTATCTACGTAGAAACTCCAGATACCTAAGATACTCTAGGGTCCCGCCGGCCACGAATACCCTTGTACATGTGTCCGGTACATATATATAATATAATTGCATTATCGCTGCGAACTAAAAATGTGACTACTATATTTGAGTTCGCAGCGAACTGATATTGTGCATAGTATGCGACAGTAACAGCACAATACATAACGGTTGGCACACTCTAAATAAAATTTCGTCCAGAATATGGTTTTAGTGTCAATAGACAGATTTTCATGCACTACAAAATCCTCTATATTCGACATTCACATGTTGTTTCACTATTTGAAAAATACCACAGACTAAGGACAAATAAACATAACGAGGACGAGCAGTCAAAATTTGTAACTTTTCAGCTTTTGAGTAATCATTTTCGGAACAATACACAGACTGAGCGAAGAGAGTGGATATAGAAATGTTCAGGAAATTCAGGGCTTTCGTCTTGGCTAGGCCGCTTGTTCATCGACGTAACGCGACACTTCGCTGATCAAGTTTTTTTTGAATTTTTTCATCAGAAAATCGATAGGGGCGCATCATTAGACGCAGTTTTTCATGCTGGTCACGAATCTGAGTTTTCTTTTGAAGAAAAAATTAATTTTCAATATTAAAATTTTTAAAAACTTGAACTTCAATGTTCTGACTCAGACATTTTACTCAGAAATTTTTAAAAGCATATCATTGAATAGGGAATTCAATTCTCTACAAAAAGGCTCATTTTGTTTTGAGATCTATTTTTCAGTCGAGACGCAGTGGCTGCTTGAACGTTTCAACTTCCACCTTCGTCTGAAAGCCTCAGAGAATTTTTGGAACTTTATTTTCAACTGGAGTCTTCTCAGGAAACCTGGAACTACACAGACTATCAGTATGACGTTTTTTGAACAACGTTTAGTACCTAAAAATGGCGCGACAAAAAAAGTATATAACAGTGTTACGTTTGTTTTTTGCTTTTTTTACCTGCGTAAAAATAGTTAGAAGAAAACTTCTTTTACATATTGTAACATCAAAGGCATATTTATTTATATTATTTTTGCTATAGTTTGTGACAATCAAGAAGAAGGTATAATGACTTCTGTCGATTCCATCTTCAAGATTACGTGTTCTCGAATATGTTCTTTTTACTTTTTTTATTTAAAATAAATAAAGTTGAAACTAAACTAAACTTCTTTTACCGCTGAAAAGCTGTTTCGATGCTCTACAAAATTAGCTCTAGAGGCATTTCATTTGGAGAGCGACTTTCGCAGGAAATTACAACTTTAGCGAGAGCACTCCAAATTTAGAGTCTTTCTATGTAACAGCGTTATGCGATGAAAAAACCTTTCTCAAAGCTCGACACTTTAACCAAAATACTTCGTTTTTATAGCATAAATAGAGTATGATGAACTGCATCGAATGGTGTTTTAACGAACTTTCTAGCTCCCCGACTTTTCGAGATAATTGAAAAAAAGTGTGTCAAAAACGTAATAGTGTTACGTTTGGACAAGCCGTCATATGTCATCACAACTGCAAAAGATTTTAGTAAACAAGAAAAATTAGTTCTCTGGATGGCGTCAAATTCGAAGAAAAGCAGCAAAAACTAATAAGAGAATGTGTTGTGAGTGTACAACATATTGAATTTTGTAGAGCAGAAAATTTTCTACCTGGAAAGGGACCATGGAACCGTACAATAAGGCGGAAAAAAATTAGCTACAGAAATGACCCATCATTTTCATCATCAATTATTAGTGAGAAACTGTGAGAAAAATTTTTATTTGTCGATAAGAATTAATTAAATAAAAACTATTTCTTACACAAAGTATATGTGATGAAACATTAATAAATAATCAATTAGGTCGAGCACAAAAAAATGCGACCTCATCTTATGTTTTTTACTTATCCTTACTCTGCGTTATTTTTTCAAATAATGGAATAACATGTGAATATCGAACATAGAAGATTTTGTAGAGCATGAAATTTTGTATCTTTTGACACTAAAACCAAATTCTGGACAAAAGTTTACTTGGAGAAAAAAAGCTCACAGAAAAATGCGCAGTTATTTCTGCGTCACCCGTTACACATATACTGTTTAGTTTTTCTGACTGAAGACAGTCTCAGACGAATTATAAAAGTGTGGCATCATCTATTTAGCATGTTTTCTAACAATTGGTTTTTTTAAACAAAAACTGATTTTTTAAAGTTGACATTGTCACTCATACTCAAAAGCAAGATCAATTAGAACGTACATGCAACAATTATACATCTTGTTCTATTGATTACCTAAATACACACAACATCTACCACAACAAATTGATAAAAGAAAAAAAAGCGACGCACTGTTATCACATTTAACAACAAAATTAATGAACCAACGAATAAAACAACATCAGGATTTTGAAACAGAAAAAGATGGAAATAACTTGGCAAAAATTTTTCGTGATAGACGCTGTGCCATTGGCTGTTCACTATTTATAGTCGTAGTACTAGTTAATATCCGATTGAATGATGAATCGGACAGAGCATCATCATTATTATATTCATTTTCTGCCGTTCTTAATTGTTCATTCGGTAGCGGAAACGATGATATTGGTAATGTTAGAGATTTCTTCCCAATCTCATTTCTTGAACAAGATGAGATTGACGATGCTGATAGTGACAAACGATTATAGGTGGTTATTGGTGAATGGCTAACATTAAGACAATCAGTTGTGGCTTGTGCTATTTGTGTTCTTTGTCGCGTAGGAGAATACGAAATTGATGACGATGAAGATGTAGAATTGGTCGGAGATGGTGGTGGTGAACGATGGTTGTTTTTCGAAATTTTTCGACGTAAACACATTGATAACTTCTGATTTGGAGACACTTGAAGAGACTTATCAAACTGATTTATTTCTGATACGTTTCGATTTGGTGGTGGAAATAAACAGGGAAATCTTTCGTCAAATGAACTATTATTGTGATGTAGTGATAGTGTAGTAGTATCAGGTGTTGATCGAAACTGTGTCGCTGTTAACGACGGTATGTGATATTGGGAAAATGATGAATGCCGATACGAAGGCAGTTGACGATGATTCAATCTAGTTGATGTCGTTTTTTGAACCGATTTTCTACTGTGTTGTAGCTGTCTATTATTACAAAATTCATCATCGTCCTTTTTGTGGTTTGATGGCTCAGATAATACTGTTGTTGTCTGGTTAGTAGTTGGACGTGGATGTAACCATTCTCCATCTTTAGAGGCTATAACTGGTACAGGATATTTGACTTTTTCATTATGATAGCCCACACGAATTCTTTGAAGTTCTTTAAGTCCTTGAATGCGTTTTTCATGATCTGTGCTCATTATGACAGAACTAAATGAAATAGTAAAATGTGAGCAATAAGTGATGAGAAAGAACTCATTTAGTGATGATATGTGGGACTTTAGCTAAAATGAAATATCTCAAGTGTACACTTGTATGGGAAATAAAACCCTGAAAGAATTGTTCCCCCGCTGTGCTTCTCTCATTTTTTTGTATGCAATTCAACCCACGATCAAGTTATCAATGTGAAATTAAGCACATACTTACCATTCAACTGGAAATAGAACAAATGAGTAATTTTGGTATGTCTCAAAACCAAAACTGTGTGGTAATAGTTTAATGCTGTTATCAGCTGAAACAAACAAAAGATACAATTCATCCAGAAGTCATGTGTTGTTAAAAGCAGCTCATTAAAATCAACAGTTGTTGTGAGCAAAGATAGAGAGGTGACTCATTTATAAAACGTTAGCATACCAAAAAACAACAACAAATGATTCCATTGAGGTAAAATAACCCTGTTTATTGAATTTCTTTGAGAATTTGTTGATGTAAGAAAAATAAAGTTGTTACTCTGTCACAAAACATGTGTCATATTCTTGTTCTGATATTCTTCTTGGTTGTAAAGAGGTAAATATATGTTTTGTGGAAACTAGCGAAGTTGAATATATAATCAAAGCGTACTTCAGCCTGACACTAATTAGAACTCGCCATTTATAGCAAATACTCAATCAACAACCAATTAGATCCATCATCTGTCTGATATGACAGATTTAGTATTTATATTCGACTGACCAAGTTCTTATAAGGCGTTAACATTATATTAACAAACAGTATTCTAAACAAAGATATCCTCCTTGAGTCTCACTGAGTAAAACAAATCAAATTTAGATGCCCAAATTCTTAATGTATTCTTATATGAATAGATTAAATAAATAATGCTTACAGTTAACGGAGACAAAATGATAATTTTTGTTTGCTAATATTATTGTTGTTTTTTTTGTATTTGGTATGTGTTTAACATGATGCTGTATTTTTGTTCCGATGGTCATAACGGTTCATAAATCAAAGAATAAATGAAAACATTAGTAAAATCAAACATCTGCTGATGACAAATAAAATTGAATAAGTTCAGTTAACTTTTTAATATTAATAAAAAGAAACGATAATAAGCAAGAAGAAAAATTTGTTTCGGATAGTATATATTTGATTTTCTGTAATAATAACTCGTTGGAAAAATTAATCAACTGGTTTTACATAACGTTTGATTTTTCTTGATTAACTTGTTATTATTTTTTATTATTGTAATATTTTCATAAAGATAAATAGAGAAGTTTTCTACAACACGACTTTTATCGATCGTCGTTTGTCTAAAAGTAAAGTAAAATTATAATAATAGACGAGAAATCTAAAGAATCTGTAAATTAAATAAACTGGCATCCTTCTTTATGGGACAATCAAATGATTCACAAATAATCACTCTTCCAGTACTCGTCTGTCTGTCTGTCTGTCTGCCTGTCTGAGTGTGTATTGTAGCAGAACGTTTTATCTTTTTCTTTCGTTTTTTAGTGTGAAAGAAAAAGAAAAGGTGAAAATGAGTGATGGAAAAAAAACGATTTTTTCCTTCATGTCGTTATTCTTCATTGTGAGAGAAATTAACACGTCAAAAACTTTTTCTAGATAATCCAAAAAGACATGTGCTGCTTATAAGTTATCTCGACATATTTTTACGAAAAAGGTTTAAATTCGATAAAAAAAAAATGATGCACTTAGACACACGCTACGATCTATCATAGACACAATGTGTCAACGTGTTGTTATCGACCCCTTTTCTTCGAGGCAATGGATACGACTGGACTTTGAATCTAAATTCCAGTCAATATATTGAAGAACTGTACTACTGATTAAAAAACCATTTTATAATTGGTTACTACGCCCATTTCCTGTTGAGTAGCATATATGTCTGTGTAAGTGTATCAACTGTTAAGGCTTGTTAATATATGAAACAACACTGAAACTAGATATCTGGACTAACGAAAAACAACAGATCTATATTTTTAATTTCAAAATCTAAATTTAACATCCTAAACTATTTTTAACCATCAAGAAAAAAAGTTTTTAAATATAACAAAACGAGATTTATCCTGTCTATAAAGTTTATAAAATTTATATCCTATTATAGAAGTAGTACGTTCGATAATGTGAGAAGAAAAGTGCTCTTCAATAAGAAATATTGAGTTATGCAACATGTTCAACTAATAATGTGATGAACCACCCAAGTCGTCTAGATAAAAATTTAAACAAACTTCTTTTCTTAACTATTTTTTCTTCTTTCTCTGACTTGCCTGATGCTATAAACTAGATGAATGCCTCTATTTTTCACAAAACATTTCGTAGATTAGAAAAAATCTAGCTTTTTTATTGCATCTCTAATTTAAATTAAGTGACATCAGAGTAAGAAAAAAAAGTAAAAAAGGAGAAAGAGAGAGATGGTGCACAAGCGGAAGAAAGCAATAATACAGATATATATATAATTTTTTCTTAAGATTTGAAGATTTACATTAAAAGGCAAATATCATAATAATAATGAAGTGAATACGTCTTGTCTCGCCGTCTCTAAAGTTCCTAAACTGTTTTTTTTTTCTATAGTCTGCCTTACTCTACACATGTATACGTACAACCATACATCTATTTTTTTGATATGACTATGAAGTGAATTGATTAGTGATGATCTGTTACTCCTATGCAGACATATACAAAACATACTGAGATAAAAAGAACGGCAATAACATGTAAGCAGATGAAAAAAATGTGCCTATTTTATGCATTGATTTTGATTTTAAAGAAGAATAAAAATCATTGAGTGTTAGAATAAAACAATGACTAAAATGAGATTTGTATTTTTGTTTTTTGATAGAATTCTAAAAATATTCACAAAAACAGCGCCCTCTATAATGTAGAAGAGCAGATATATCTCAGTTATTCTACTAGATCATAGAAAAATGAAAGGAGCAAATGAGTTCTCATTTAATTCTTGTATAATTTCAAAGCTTTTGTCTAGTGACTATCTTTTTTCAAAAACTCAAAAGTATACTAAAATTCAATGATGATTCGCTGAGTCATTGTTATCTGCGTACATACCACAGGAACAATGAAAACAAAACAATAAAAAAAAAAGAGTATAATATAAAACAAACAAAATCTCTTCAGGTCTACAATCTTCTGTTTTTCTTCTTATCATCCAAACATTTTAGTAAATTTTGATCGAGATATTTCGAAGGAATAAAGGATGAATAGAAATTAAACTTTACACAGCAGAAATAACTGAAAAAGCGCCCTAGGTCTTTCGCATTCATTATGGACAAGAATTGGTTTAAAGAATCATCTACTATCTTTACTTTTATACTCACAATTCTTAATACCTGCTTTAAGTGAACAACTATAGTTTGATTATCGACATTTCCGCTAAGTGTACGTCAGCCACCAGACATAAAGATTAGTCAAAGTTTTGAACTGATTTTATTGTCTGTATATGATAAACATTCACTATACACTTATTGGCTAGTGTACTAGACAACACGTTGTCTGATTATAAGAGTTAGTGTTATTTCCATCTGCTAGTTAGTTAGCTGATGTATATGATATAGTATAGTTATATTAATGATTAATCGTGTCTGTATGCATGAGAAAAACAATCCTGAAGTATACAGTACCGATGATTATTCGAATTTTCTATAATACATCAAAGCAATCTGTTTATGAACATAAACAGACGGCAATGACAAACTGAGTTTTTTTGAATGTTTCAGAAATTGAATATGTTTTAATATTATGGCTGATTCTAGTAAAAAATTTGAAATAAAATGTATATACTAATATTATGATTTGTGTATATTCCTATGCTAATCTATTTATCTTTACTTTATATACTGTTATTTATTCGTCTCGTCACACTTATAATTATTAACACGCATATAATACACACATATGATTCTTTCTCAATCATATGTTCAATGTACATTCAGACATACACACTCTCAATGAGGTGAAGTATATGTAGACAGGGCAATTCAAAAAAAGAAAAAAAAAAAACAACAAACACCGACAAAGAATACTAAAATCTGTATCTATTGGATCAAATGAGTATTTTGCCGAAGAGATTTACTCTCAAACTGAATTGAGACAGTAACAACACACTACAATGGTCATAAAAACTTTGCAGAACATTTATAATCGTCGAAAAAATTATTCAGGAAAAATGTTGGTGTGGATCAACACTTTAAAACATGGAAAATGAGTGACCAAGTTTGATTAGTTTGTAGAGTAAATCATCATATAGAAGGGGATGGAACAGAATTTTCCTTTCACTCTATTTCATAGAATTTCTCTCACTCATGCTAAAATTCACTTAGATATCAGAGAAGTGAAACTAAACATGAAAGCTTTACAACTTTATATGAACATTCATCTCAAATTTATACGTTCACAATATCGTATTTCTTTCTTCATAGAACTAACTTATGAATATTAATATTTATAATAAAAATTAAATATACTCGAAATTAGTTAAGTCTACGAGTCGTGTTCTATTTGTCTTCTCTTTTCTTATAAATAACTTGGAGTTCGAGTGTCTTTTTTCTTTATTTTTTTTTCTTTTATATACGCTGTATAAGGAAAAGATAAGTAATTATTTTGAGGATACTGCTAAAATGTGAACTTATGCTTTCTTTTTTCCGAAAACTCTCTAATTCAAGGACTTGAGACTAATAGCTACTAGTACATAATCTAAAAAGTTAATTGATTCCAGTTACTAGATAGGCGTAAAACGAACGTAATAGTAAAATTATATAAAAGGGAAATCCTAGACACTTGTCAATAAAGAAAAATATCAAAACTTTTATGTTAAAAAGCTTAAAAGAAACTACTTTCATATATTTTTTTGTTCCATTATTGCTAAGTTCATCATCAATTATTCTACACATTTTTAAATTTAAATCATAATACTTGCTCTAGCGACAAAAAGAAATTTCCATTTTTAAACTATATTTAGGTAACAAATTTAAGGATATCAGATGCTTGTATTTTCAATTCTTATTTGTTAAACACGTTTTAAAAAAACTGCATAGTTATGTATCAAATGTGGCAAAATAAAAAAACATCTACCTTTTCTCAATAGGAGGAGAGATCTTGGCTATTGTTAAAAAGTATTGTAATTGTCGCTATTTACTAATTTTTCAATGACAAAAAAATAGTATTCAAATCAAGTACGTCTACCTGTTCTTTATGAATGTGTATAGTCATCATCTAATCATTATTAAGCAAAGGTAATGTATTGATTTTCATAATAATAGAGACATTTTTGTTTTGAAAAACAAAAATATCCTCAAAACTCATGAGAAAACGCATCAATAAAATTGAGTTCGACATTATTAGAAATAGTAGATATTATCTGTCTTTATTCTTCCTCAATTATTGGCTGTTTCCTTTAGCACAGTTTTCTTGGAGACTAGTAGGTTTCAATGTTTAATAGATAAATCATCTATTTACTTTTATGCAAGAAACTGAATAAGACTCTTAGTTAGATTTAATCATTTTGTTTAACCCACTTGTGTACATTTTCTTTCAGTTGTTGACGTAATAATTAGAGTAACAAACTTTTCCACGAGAATGTACGAAAAAACGAAACTTTTCCAACAGAAAGAGAATATGCTCAGTTTTCACAAAGGAAATTTCTAGAGCTTCGACGAATAGATTTCCAACGTGGGAAAGCGAAACAGCTTTAATCGATTGTATTTCCAGCGATGGAAGATATAATTACTGTTTCATGGGGTGACAGATAGAAAATGAAAGCATATCTTTTTATGCTATCTCTTCGTAAGCATTATGCTGGAGAGCCAGGTTTATAGTTAAAATACACCAAAAAATGTTTTTCAAAAACCCGTGCTAATCAAAGAAAGCGGTTGCCCGTCCATGTTCGCGAACACCACAGAAATTTTCATGCCCGTACAGATCTCTAATTATGGTAAACAGTGCCTTCTGGAGACACGACTGATCTCTGAAGAGTAAGTTTAAAATTATTTCTATAGATGATCAAAAAAGGCCATCCTCCTGTATTTCAAGAATAATATCTCGTTTCCTACAGCAGGCGCACAACAACGAATCAAACAGTGAATGATGAAATAGCACTTTTTATCATATCAGACTAATGTTTTTTCAATAGGTGAATGTCTTTAATATGATATATGCCAACGGTTTGTTGTTTTTCTATTAATGAAACACCACATGGTCAGAATAAGCACCGAGCAATCAATCTTTACAGTTCATTTGATAATATATACACTGAAATGTGTACGATAAATACTGATAATTCATAAAATCGAAAATGTTATATATAACCGAAGAAAAATTGTATATGAACAGATCATTTTTTTACCAATATATTCCGTACAAAGTATTACGTTAACTAATGGATGATGCAAAAATTCTGCATAAATTTTATTTTTGATATAATATTGCGATAGAACATCGTCAAGACTTGATCTTTTGTTTTTGTTAGAAAGAGCAAAGTATCTAGTACAAAAATATATAAAAATATTTAATTGGAAATATTTTTCAACAACTCTAAAAATTTTAGAACTAAAGGCACTAGAAAACTGCTCCACAATCTTTTTGAATTTAGTAAACACATTCTATTGAATAAGAAAGGTTCATCTTTTTATTCATTTTTTCAAGATTTCATAATGTAAGAATACCGTATTGTTACTGCACAAAAACAAATTTTCTATGTGTTTTATAATGGTCGAAATGAACACTTTTCTGATATTCCTATGACACCGTTAATTAAATTTTTCATCATTGACGATATAAGTCAAAAAAAATAAGTTCGATTCAGAGAGAGAAGTAGTCAGAAACTGTATAATTTACATAGAAAAAGAAAGTTTATTGTGTTCTTTACAAAACGATATTATTTTAAATAGAACGAACACAGCTGTTCGGGAAGATATTATGAGAAAAACTTGTTTTCGCATTGTAAACGCCATGACTTATTAATCAAATAGATTCCTATTCGGTGGCTTGTTTTTAAAGCCAATCTTTTTGATATCATACGAAAGTCTTGATTGCAATGGACAACTGCATATATATTGTACTCGAAAATGAATAACGAAAAAGATTAAACAAATACATTTGAATGCAAAAACTATAACCGAAATTGCGAAGCAGTTTTCTGATGTCTTCAGTTCTAAAATTTTTAGAGTTGTTGAAAAATATTTCCAATCAAATATTTTTATATATTTTTGTACTAAATACTTTGTTTTTTCTAACAAACACAAAAGATCAAGTCTCGATGATGTTCTATCGCAATGTTATAGTAAAATTCAAATTCATGCAATACGTTTGCATCATCCGTTAGGTGAAGTAAAACAACGAATATTTTTTCATTTGTCAATGGAAACATGATCCGCAAGATACATATTCAACTAATGATTTTCTGCTCTATATCTCTTTTTTTTAAAATATCTAAAAATTTATAATTGCAGTTTGTTGTCTACGCGAATATAAACTCATGTGCATGCACAAACACTCGACCTATATTTTATATTTTGTCAAATACTTACCAGACTTCAATTAAAGCAACGATATCAAATTGTGACTCCTCCTGATTTTTACTGTTCTTATTATTAAAAGCA